AATTCGCTATATAACTGTCGCGTAATAAACACATCTAGAAACAGCAACAGTATGCTCGTTTCTTTCTATAAAATACACAGCAACAGCGAGGAGTTTACAGAAGCAGTTTAAAGAAGAGAAGTTAATGGGTCTACATGGAAAACTGTAAACACTTCCGCGAGACAGGACCAATTCGTTGCAGGGTAAAGAGTAGAGCGTGAACCGAGGAACAGTGTGTATATCTATGCGGCCAAGACTTTCATTTTTTCTTTTCACAAAGAAATCGAGCGAAACGCAAAGAGGATCAGCGCCGGTGTAGCTGAAAAGCGGCAACTCGCGAAACTGCGAAAGGAACTGGAATAGAAGTTTTACGAGATCTACGAAGATGAAAGAGAAGTTTTTAACTCTGTATAGAATCTACGGAAGCGAAAAGATTCGTGAATTTCATCTTCTTCTGTAATAAGCAAAAATCATCACCAAACAAATATCCTCGTGCCAATCAAACATCCAATTGTTAATTTCAATTGCCACTGCAAAATTTTCTGTTGCGTTTACATGAAACGAACCGCTTTGATTATTCGTATCGTTGTGTTTATTAAACGTGTATTTGTAACAGTTTATTGGAGCTGAAAACGAGCGCGTATTCGTTCGTTCAGTGTAAACGCACCATTATCAAAGTTACACTTCTCACAAACACGCGTGATGCTCGTGAAATCTTCAATCAACTCAAGCCCCATGATTACAACTCATAAAATCAAACTTGAAATTTTTATCAAAGTATCTCGCCAAACAATTAACGTTCGTAGTTAAAGGTTAACGACGGCCACAAAAATCCCTCCCGAAATCCTCTTTAACGACGATCAGAAATAAAAAAAAAAAAGAAAAAACTAAAAAAGAGAACAGCGTAAACCGACAGGCATGTTAATTAAACAGAACGCAGACAACCAACAGAGGAATTTCCACACAGCGGCGTGAAAAAGCGGCTCGTCAACGCGACATAATTACCGAAAGCCGCACAAACTTTGGCCCCCTTCCTCCCCCTTCCCCGCCCCCTCTCCGGAAACAACAGATTCGGCGATTCGACTCGCGACACCGAATTACCGGTTCGTCTGGCTGCGTGCTCATTAGGAATTCCTGCAGCTCGTTATCCTATCGTAGCTCGTGAAATTCAGTCTGTCTCGTCTCCGGCAGCTTCAGTTCCACGACGTTTCGCGAACTTTCGCAAACGATCGGGCACGCGTCACCTACTCTCTCTCCCTCTCTCTCTCTCTCTCTCTTTATATATATATATATATATATATATATATATATATATATATATATATATATATATATACACCGAAATTTTTTTACGAAGCAAAAGTCATGTCTTTTTTCTATTTTTTTCGTTTATTCTATTCTTCGTTGGTCGAATAGATTCAATTTGATAGACAATAGAACTATTTTCTCGCACAATAGCCATTTGCGAAGTAAAAGTCACTCTGAATATTTTTTTTATTCTATTGTTTCGTTGGCCAAATAGATTCAATTTTAGGGACGATAAACTATTTTTTTTCTTTTTTCGTTCAGTACGTATTAATGTCAAATGTCATTTAACGTCGAATTTCAATTAATTGAAACTCGAATCAGCATAATAGTGTAGCGATTGTGTGTGTGTATCTGTATCAATTCAACACAGCATTAATCGCACGAGATTAGTTCGATGCTTGTCAACGAAGAGCATTCTCTTGAATCAAAATGACGAATTTAACAATTCTACAAATTTTGCTTCGAATTTTGTAGAAGGTATCGAAAAAGATCGATATCTTTTTCGATTTTTAATTTTTGCTCATTAATTGGATTTATCGCAGCAGTAATTAATTCTTTCTTTATTAAATAATATTTGAGTGTCCGAGTATTTTCGAAACAGTCATTAATACATCACATTAATTTCAAAATTTTTGAGTATTCAGATTTCTATTTCTTCTTTTTTTAAATTCATTGTTCGAATATAAAGCATGTGTTATACATTCCAATTATAGTTGAAGAATTTATCGCGACATTATTAAATAGCGAATAAAGTTTAAAATTGATACTATAACATGTATACAGATAAGAAGTGCTAACATCAATGTATATTCTATCGGGACAAATATTTAAATAACAAATTTCATGATCGAATCACGCGCTCGCAGAAACCAAATAATTTCACTGTATAAATCCATCAACTGTATCAACTCCCCTCACCCCCGTATTCGAGCAAACCATACCTGTCGATACATCCAAGTAAGCTGGAGCAATTTTCCACGGAAGATAAATTGCACGGTCGCTCCTTACACGATCTCCTCGTATTAAAAGCACGAAAGTTTCGAAAATTACGTGTTCTAACGACTCCGGGCGGCGGGTTCTAAATCCTCGAAAATCTCTGGCCCGGACGGTGCACCCTTTCTTCCGCTGTCCAGACGTCCGTTCTGACGTTCGCGCCGAAATTTATAACAGTTTTTATCTCGTCCCTTTTCTTCTGGCCGCGGTTCAGCGCGTGATTTATGTGGACAGCGGTGCAGGGAACGAGCGAACGCAGTGTCGGCCCTGGACTCTAACGCGTGTCAGTGGCGTTAGGTCTCTCGCAGATGCGTTCGATCCGAACCTTTCGATTTGTCAGTCACGTGAAATGATTTCCTGTCGCATTTGTCCGTGTCAGCGGGCATTACCGGACGCGCGGCCGATTTTTCTGATCGACGCCAGATCGAGAGCTTTTTCTACGCGTCGCTCTCGATGGAAGTCATAGTGCTTTTTAACGTCCCCGATGATCGTTTCCCCGGGCCGTTGACAAGTTTCGACAAGGATTTACTCGCGTACGAAACGTGTTAGTCGATTTTGATAGAAGCATTTTGGGTGGAATCCCATTCGAACGCTGAACAAATTTTTATGTGAAACGTTCTAATATCTCGTCCACGCTGTAACGAGACTCAATTGTCGCGATTGCATTGTGTTGCAAACATTTTACAAGAAATCGACACGAGGGACGAACGAGGATTAATGCAGGACATCACAAGTCGTGCTTAAATTGCATCAATGTGTCTTAATATTCAGTGAGATTATTTCGAATGGTGGTTATTTATGCCGTACGCTGAACATTTTGTTATCCTACTGTTTACGATGTATATCTTTGTTTTGTATGTTTTTAATTTGTAATTTCTGGATTTTAATTCACGAAAGTTACATCTCCTCTAAATATTCACTCAGTCATATTTTAGACAATTTTCACTGGAAAACGAATCGTGTCAAATTTAGCAACGTGCACGTGCACGTGGCACGAATGTCAAAGGAAAGTAAACGCGATCTTTGAAAACAAAAGGCGAGTCATCCATTTAAAAAACAAAAGGCAAAAGTTCCTCGTGCAGAAACCTCTTGCGTTGCAATGGTGAACTCGACGCAAACGCGCAGAAGTCATCTTTGCGATTCTCTCTCTGTTTCTCGCGGGGTTGTTCATGGCACTCGTACAACCCTTTCGTCCCTCGAATCTCCTTTCACGCGTGGATTTCACAGAGCGCTGCCAGGAACTCGGATGAATATTTCTCGTTAATAAACGAGAACGTCGTCGACGTCCTCTTGCCTCGACTTCTCTCCTTTCTTTCTTTCTTTCTTTCTTTCTTTCTTTCTTTCTTTTTTTTTTCCTACCATTCGACGCGAACTTCTTTCTTCGTCTAGCCCGGTCTGGCGCAAAGTGAAACGATCTTTGCCAGACGGGATGAACTTCTTCAGATCGTTTAATCTTATCGCTGTAGAGTACTCGGCCGAACATTTTGGAATTACGTGGAATTGTGTGTTTGAAAAGTTATTGCACTGTGTATGTTGTACGCGATGCCACATTATTAATCAGCCGCGAGGGAAAGTTTCACTATTGTGAAATATAAAATCCAATGGAGTCGAGAATCGTGGCTATAGGGTTTCGGTTTGAATCTCTCTATGAAAACATAAAAATATTGCACCACTGTATTAAACCTTAAATTATTTTTAAATATTCTGTAAATATTGCTCGTCCCTTTTGCAAACGAGATACTAATTGTTGATTCGCTTCTTACTTTTTTCTCTTTCTTTGTCCACATTTTTTGCCTCTTTTTATACTCAGTGCCTCGTCACTAGATAAATGAATATTATATTTTGTATATATATCAATATTAATATTATTTTATACATATTTTATACATTATATTAATATTATACAATACAATATTAATATTAATATTATTTTATACATATTGCTCGAACAAGAATTCTGCTGCAAATTTACCTTGTTCATCTATTGGACACACGATATCGCGTCATGTATTTCCGCTGGCGTACAGATATAACAGGCAACAATACTACTACTATTTTAACAACGAAACTGAAACGAGAAAAGTTTTCGAGATTGTGTTGTGAATTGAAGTGTTCATTATTCCTATGCTGCGTGATGTCTACGATAAAATAAACTCGAACTATATCATCTTCTGTCGACCCTCATCCCTTGTGTCAATTTAACACGTTCTTCTTATAAAATGTCAAAAATGTATGAAATCTATATCTGACAATAGATTATATTCAATTGAATAGAAATTTAAATGTCAAAAATGTATGAAATCTATATCTGACAATAGATTATATTCAATTGAATAGAAATTTAGTCAGCTTTTTCTTAATAAAATCATTCGCAAACTTTTTATATTCTTTTATCATATTTTTCGACCTCTTTACTATTTTTACTGTGTCAATTTGACAATTTAATTCAAGGGAGAAATTGAGTTGGAAAAATGAGGACGAAATTTTACGTGTATCTTCTAAAAGAAAGACTCTGACTAATTTCTTTAATTCCTTTACGTTTATCTATTTAAATCGAAACGTATCTTTTTTTTTTTTTTTTTTTTTTTTTTTAGAAAGTTAGTCATTATTTGATCTTTTATGCTTCATTATGGAAATCAAATTACCTATGACTTTTTTAATTAAACTTCTCTGTCATCAGATATCTAGATAACGTTAGATAAAATATGACTTTCAGGTCCGGAAGAGGAGAAACTGTTGGGTTCGATATTGTTGCCGTCGTACAGAGTTACCGTGTGCAAACCCGAGGACAAAGTTAACAAAAAGTTCGCGTTCAAAGCGGAACACGCGAACATGAGGACTTATCACTTCGCAGCTGACAGTCGCGAAAGCATGAATCAATGGGTGAACGCATTGACTTTGGCGACTCTTCTTCAGGATCCGAGTCCGTGAGTATATGTACATGTTTTCATCCCTCTTTGTAATTAGACTGCGAATTTTTACGTTTTTATGAACATGATCAAATGAAAATGGAACCTGAACCAGAAAATTGTTACTAATGTAAGTGCCCTTTGGAATTACAAATTTTCTACAAAGATTTGCAGTCTACTTAAATCTTGATCGGGAGACTCTGTAGAAATTTAGATAGAAATTTTCAATTTTAATTTGGAAGAAGGAATACATTCTCTTGTACAAAATAAAGGAATCAAAATTATATTACACCTGTAAGTGCTTACTTGTACAAAATGAAAAAGAAGCAACGTTGATGTTTCTTCTTAGTTAATCACAGATAAAATGCTCCACTGCCCAATTTTATTCGCCTCGTGTCGCCGAGACAGGAAAGGAAAAATAAAGAAAAGAACCGAATGTGACATAAAAAAAAAAAAAAAAAGGAAGAAGAAATACAATCGAGAATCTATAGTTGTTAATTTTCTCGCTGGAAAATTCCGAGAACGAACTCGTAAAAAGGTAAATCACAATAAAGGAAAATCGAACGAACGATCGCCACGCAATAACTTCCGTCGCGTGTAACTTTTTACCGGCCAATATAAACTATACCGTGCTTCAGTGTTTCAAACAATTTCAAACGATTGCAAATTTTCGAGGTGAATCGTATCGCGTGCCACGGTCGATACGTACCGCGTCGTTGGATGTCGGTGCCGGTCGCAAACTACAATCGAATTCGATCGAAATTCGATTAATCGATAAGAGACGTGGCGTTTTCACCGTTCGCGAAGCGGCGTTGTTGCAATTATTTCGCGTGAAATCATTTATTTTTATTTTTCGCGTCGTCGTCGTTTCTTCGGCGCCGTCAATTTATATTTCTTATTCGGCGTTTCTCGTTTCTTCCAGCGTGACGAGTTCCCAAAGCTGTATCGATACACGGTCCCATTAGTATCGTCAGAGTGAACGATCGCCTGTCTTCTGTTCCTTCTATTTCCAACTTTTCCCTCGCGATATTGTTTGTATTTTTCGTTGGAGAACCGAGAGTCTTTTTTAAAAAGACTCTTGGTAAAAATCGATTTGAACCTCAGAATTCTCAGTAATTCTTGATCCAATCGTTATGTGATTCTGTATTTGTACAATCTCGTATTTTCAGTTCTAATAATTTCTTTTCTTTTTTAAATGTGTATAAAAACAGAAATCAATTTTTTTACATTATATTTTCGTAATAAACAATATTACGGTCGTCCGAGGGTTAATTCAAATCAAGACGAGTTTCAAATTATAAGAATTGTCGAATCAGTAACGATGTGTGCTTTCGTGAAAAGAAATCGTAAAATCATCTACTTTGACTGTTTCGAATTCATTTCTCATTCTCGAAACGAATGAGGAATAAATATTTTTGTTCTCGAATAATCTCTGAAAAGTATGCACACGGAATATTAAATATTTTTTTTATATGTATTATAACAAACGAAATACCTTCTAATTAAGTCGCAATAGCTTCTTCACACTTCATTATTAAATGCTCGAAAAGAAGGATTATATTGAAACACTAAAACACACACTTAGTATTATTCACTGTAACAATTTTTATTATTACCATGTGAAATTAACGTGCGAAGTAAGAAAAAAAGTTTTTAATTCAAGGTCAACAAAAATTCTCGCAAACATGAGAATGCAACTCGTAATCGAAGCATTTTCTATGCAATTAGGCAGCAAACGAGAGAAACGTGGCTGAACAAACGTCGAAGAGGAAATTCACTCTGTTGCTGGCCGAACTAGAAATTCCAGCGAACAATCTGTGCTGTGTAGAAGTCGAAAGTATCGCGAACATCCAGCAGCCGGAAGTTCTCGTTTCGATCGCGGCGTAACTCGTTTGTTCGTTCATTCGTTCGTTCGTTCGTTCGTTCGTCCGTTCGTTCGTTCGTTTGCTTTTCCAAAGTTGGCCGTGAATAAACATCCGAGAGTTTGTCGTTGCTCTTGCTGAAAAACTGCGAAACGCTCGCCGTTTCGTTTGCCAGAGCGCACGGTGCCGCGAATTTCCTGGCGGACTGTTCGCGCTCCTGATGCTGGTTTCCGGCGACGCGACGCCGCTGAATTTCCACGTTTCTCAAAGCTAATGACTCCGCAACCGCGGCGAAACTCTCCCCCAAAATTACGATCCACCTTTGTTTGCACGCTGGTCTTCCGAATTAAACGTTTACCGCGCCACTTTGTGTCGCGAGATTACGAGCAGCGCGCTTCGTTGCTCGAACACGATCGATTTTGACGTCTCCTCGACGAATCGAATTCTCTTTCGTTGTCGGTATATATCGCGGGAGCGATGGATATTGAAATCTCAGTTTTTTATTAATTTGAATTAGTCTGAATCTTGAATGTTCCAATAGGCGATAGATAGTGAGAATTTAGTATTTCATTATTTTTAATGTTATGATATGTAATATATTAATATATAATATATACGTGTAATATATTAATATTGATATATTAATATGCTATTATATAAATATTATAGATATATAAATATATCACAAGATACACACGTGTCTAAAAACGAACACATTCTCAATTTGTTACATGATGTTTAATTACTCATTGCTGTGCAATCTAAAAATATACTTAACAAATGTTCAAACTCGATTTTCTTGGAAAGGGGAGCCTTCAACGAATAAATGTTATTCTTTTTTTTTAAATATATATATATATATGTAAAAGAAAAGAAATTATACAGAAATTATTGAAATTTCCCAACGTATTTGCCAACACGGCGATTCCACTGGTCTTATTGGAGGATTATGCCCTATCTGGAGCAAGCAATTCGGACACAGCTGTGAAATTCTGAATAATCGAACGAACGAAATACGTTTCAGCGGTGCCGGGGAGGCAGCGGTGGTGATCGAGATAGCTGGCCAACAAGACGGCGAGCGCAGCGCTCGACCAAGCGTCTCCTCCATCTCCTCGATCCTAAATCAGAGCGCCGACGACAGTGACTCCGGATTTCACGGGTTTCAATCACGGGACGATCCCAGCCACGCTTCCAACAATAACTCCAGCCCGAACAGCGTGAACACTGCCTCCTTCCCCAATCTCAGCGGTAGCAACAGCAACAGCAACACCAACAATGGCAACAGCAGCAGCAACAACAACAACAACATCAACAACAATAACAACAACGCCATCAACAGCACGATTACCAACACCGGGAACAACAACACGAGCGACGTGCAACCAATGGTGAACGGTTGGATTCAGCAGCAAACGCCGTACGGCGAGCCGAGCACGTCGCAGCATCAACAACAGCCGCAATATGGCCAGCTGATACCCACGTCTCAACAGTTGCAACAGAGTCACTTGTATCAGCAACATCAGGCGCTGCTTCATCAACACCTGTCTCAACATCAGAATGCCAATCAGCTGCATCACAACAAACACGTGATCCAACAGCCGCAGCCGCAGTCGCATTTAATCGCCGGTAACGTGCAAACTGTCCAGCCTATGCCGAGAAAATTCGGCCAGCCGATATACGCGAACGCGCCGCCGAAGCCGAGAAGGCTGGCCGACGGATCGACCGAGTACTCGACCCCGTCGCCGGATCCGGACTACCGGAAGTCGCCGGTGTCGCCGGACGTAACGGTGGCCAGCAAGAGCCCGATGTCCGACTACGACAGAGGCAGCATGATCTACGGTACGAGGATGACTCAGCCGTCGCAGCAGAGCCTGAGGACGGATAAATCCGGGTTGAATTACGGGTACGGGCAGCAGGTGCAAACGGAGAGGCGCACGCCCGATACGTACGGGCGTAGCGCGGCGAAACCGAGGTCCAGCGCTCGGGGGAACGGCGACTACGAGGAAGTTTATGGGGCGCCTCAGCTATATCAAAGGCCAGCTGGACCAGTCGGCTATACGAAAGGGTCGTCGCCGGCTCCTATCCCGATTCCGCTTTACGCGCAACAACATCAGCAGTATCAGCAGCAGATCCATTCTCCTGTCACGCCTTCCAATAGTGAGTACCTTTTCTGCGGCGAGTTTGACGTATGACGTTCGATAAGGGATGCTCAGAGGTGGAAATTATCTCGGTGGTAGTGGTATTTTACTTGGAAATATCTCCCTGCTGAAATATCTTCTGCCGATCAATATTCAGTTGCTCGATTTATACGTCGGGAAAAAGGATAAGGATGTTGGAATTATCGTGGCTTGTCGAGCCTAACTTCATATTTGTAATAACGATGAAATTCATTTTACGTAGTATTTTAATGTTTAATGGGAAACTAGCGAGGGAAATAAATATATAGAGCGACAACTGTGCGAGTATTGTAATGTCTAAATATTGTGTTATAATCGAGCAACTATAAGTATTGCGAAAGTAGTACTTTCCAAGTGAAATTAAAAGTTGGCTAGCAATACGAATAACGTAGTTACAAAAGTAATCGAACTTTTTTATGAACATATTATGTGTATTGTGTTCATTATATTGTATCACTAGAATATATTTAACACAAGCATCAAACTTTAATATAAACTTTACTATTCAATGAAACAATGTTTAACATATACTTCAGATAGCTATACACACTGTATAGTAATTGTCTATTAAATATATATTTGCCTGTATATATTTTCAAAGTTTACCAGTATATATAATCACGACTTATCATGTCTTATTAGAACGTTAATGAAATTTTCAAATGTTTTATAAAACACACATAATACACGATGTATAAAAGTTCTTTTGCAACAAGTGTTCAATCTTACGAGCATCTGCAATTATAAATATCGCAAGAGCAGCATTTGCTAAGTAGATTAACAACAACTTGAACGAATATAACTGAAACTAATGATATAATATTATTTAAATTATATTGAAGCTTGCAGCATGATTATTTCTTCTCCCGCGTAATTCGTCGCTAAGTGCAGTGAAATTAGCACGTTCTCGTTGGAAGAGAACGTTTCTAAATCCTCGAAATTAATTAGGACAGGCGATAATTCACACGTAGAGGGACATGCGGGAAATCGCATTGTAGTTCTTTCATTTGAAATTAGCTGTTTAACGCTTGTGACACGTGTAAGAGGATCGTTAATCCGGTTTGATTCAGTGCCAATAATGAGGCAGCCGAGGGCGCAACCACCCCCGCGACCGCACAGCGCGGACTTCTTGGAGTACGAGGCGACGAGGAAGCCTCAGCAGCAGATGCCACCGCAGTGCGAGGAATCGCTGAATCAACAGAGGCGTCCACAGAGGCCTAAATCGAGTTTAGACATAGTCACTCCGTCGGACGCCACCAACGATGGATATTTCTATTCCGAGGAAAGGTAAACGATATATTTCATTTCATTCTACTTTCGGCTAACACGGTTGATCCCTAGGGTATTTCATTTTATTCTATTTCAACTATCGCACGGGTCTGATCCGTAGGGTGTATTAATCCTTTAGTTTCTCTATGTTGCGCTAGTGCAACTACTCTTGAGTTTTAAAATTCGTCGCTTCAGCGAGTGAATTATTTATTATATTTCCTCAGATATTTTTATATTATCTCAAGCATTTTATTTTACTTTTACTTTTACTTTTACTTTTATTTTATTTCACTTACTTTTATTTACTTATTTTACTACTCAGATATTTTATACTTATCTCAGATGTTTTATTTCATTTTACTTTCTTCTATTTACTTATTTTACTGCTTAGATATTTTGTTTTACTTTTACTTTTATTTATTTATTCTACTAGTCAGATATTTATATCATCTCAGATATATTTTACTTTACTCGTTAGTTTAATTATTGGTTCTCGCATATTTAATCTTTTTCTCTAAGATTCTGTCTATAAGGGTTTAAATTTTAGTCGACGCTACTTGAGGATTAATATAATTGCGAATCAAACAAAGAAACGGAACAAAAGTTCGTGCCAAAAGTAACGTGAAAATTTCCTGAAAAACTGGACACGCGAGAAACAACCTTGAACCAGTGAACCCCACCGAGTGACTTGCTTTAATCGTCGGTGTACGATCGATGATCTTGCCACACGGTTTCGTGAGTGGTATTCGTCTAATTGCGACACGTTCGAATCGAAGAACGGAGATACCACGTTCCTTTCTCGCTTTCAAAGCAAGCCACTGGCTCCTCTCGCGATATTTCTCGACATTTCGAAAGCACTAACGTTGTTTACGATACAGGTACGCGGCACAGATGCGACAGTCGGCGGTTTATCTCCACCAGACGCCTCAGCATCATCAGCAACAGAGGAATCAATCACTATCCCGGGCGACAATGCCGTCGAAAGTAACGGCGGCAATCCGCGACAGAAGCGACGAAAGTAGAATGGCGACGCTTCCGGATGTTTCGTGCTCCGGGTTGAGGCGAGCGCAACGCGAGCACGTTCATCAGCAACACGTGTTACCTCACCAATCGCTTCAGAGGCACACCGAGTGAGTCAATCTTTCCTTCAGCTTCCTTTCTCGTTGACAAATATCGACTTATAATAAGTTTGTTCATATCCACTCGTGGAGATGTGTCAAGTATCGTTAGCAGGAGTGCTGATTTTATGCATTTTTAAACATTTTTACGAACGTCGCTGAAGATAATAGAGCCTTAAGAAAATTCGTTTTATCTACTATATATATTGTGATATATTTCGGATATTTTATATATATTTTTGTATAAATGTATAAAATTCGTGTCTTAGGTATTAGTTTCTCATTTTTGAGAAATTCGTGGTTTCAGAAATCTGCAAAGTGTCAGCTGTAATATGCGGAAATATATATATATATATATATATATATATATATAAAATATTCAAAGTAGATTTCTTGTTGCCGATAGTGAGTCCAAACCCTTTTCAATTTCTCTTTTTCAATTACATTTAATAGAACTATAAAATCACGCGACCAGTTATCAGTTAAGTAATACGGCAAACAATTTCACCTGAACGGTTCAATGAAAATCGCGTGCAAAAGCGAACGTGCAAAAGAAAATGTTCTGCAACTTGTCGGTCGAACCAGGATGAACAGCAACGAGGCGAAGCTGAGGCGATCGTTGCGGGAGAAGAGCTACGAGCCTAGCAGTCGAGAAATGCTGAGTCACATGGCCGAAGACGACCGGACGATACCACGAAGAATTCCACGAGAATACGAGCCGTCGATGGGAGGGTGGGGTGGCAGACCGACGAGTCACACGGGCCAGGCGACTATTCACGTGGGCCAACCGTGTCACGTTCCTCACGCCGCCGGCAGACGATGGAACGAGCAGCAACAGTTCTGCAGATCGGCCTCTGCGCGGCTCCCGAGGACCAGGCATCCGGCCGCGTTGGACCCCGACGACGAGGACTACGGGGAACGATCATCCGAGCAGGATTCGCGGGATGGTGAACGAAAGATACAGCAGGTTGGTTTTCGATTGAAATGTCTTTTCTTTGGAAATTAAAACTCTAAATTTAATTACTCGCTACTTACCTTTTCTCGCGATACAAAATTAAGCTAGTTAAAATAGATACGTATATCGTCGTATTCTTCGTTGTACCGTACAACGACGTCATTTATTTTATTAGCTTTCCTCATTCTCAGATCTTTAACTGTGAGTTTGTTAATTCTCGTGCAGCTTTTGTCAAATAATTGTACTATTTTACGAAATTTTACCATTTATACGTGATATATTAATTTTCTTTTCATGTTTTTTACGTATCACTCGTTATCTCACACAATTCACAGATTCGTGAAATACTAGATGTTATTACGATTACGTCGCTTGTTAATGTTTATGATACACAGAAGAAATGTTAACGAGTAGAATATATTGACTTTATAAATAACCAAGTAACAATACAACACGTTAGTTTCTTAGTGGTTTCTTTTTTAATTGTTTGTTTCATAGAGTGTGTCTGTACTTCCAGTTAAAGTGGAAAGTCGTCCATTTGGATTATATCTATACGTCGTTATTAGAAAGAAGGAAATTCCTTTGTAGAGAGAAAGTGCAAAATATGGCGGATTTTAGTTTAAATTGACGAGGGTGTTATATAACTACGTGCAACGAGTTTATTAGTAAAGAAGAAAAGTATATTTGCTTAGTGTTCGGTGTGTTCAAATTGTGTTACTGCTTACTGTGTAACCTTGGGCAATAGAAAGTAACGAAGCTGGAACGTAAAGTTATCGCCACGTGTTGTAATATTATATGTTTACTTCATTCGAAAGTGTAAAAAGTTTGTCGAAAGTACTGCAGATATTCTGAAAATCTTCGATCCTTTATAGTAGTAGTGTTAAATTTTGTTCAAAAAATTTCATAATAGTGATAACTGTTAATTTGGTATAATTTGATTCTTATTTATTTATTACTTTATTCAGTTTTGCTTGATTCAATTTTCTTCCTAATTTGTAAATCAGTTTACATTTTCTGCTTCAAAGTAATCCGTCAACGCTGTCTTAATTCTTTTAAGCTCCGTTCTTGGAATTGCTTTGATTTGACAACAAATTTTCGATGTCTCAATCGACAGAACACGAAACGGTCACGCGGTCGAGCGAACATATATCGCGGAATGAGATTTGTCGAATTTTTCAATAAAGAGTCATGTTTGATCATTTCTAAAAAAAATTCCCACCGTTCAAGTACGAAGATTGTTTCAGAACGAAGATGTTATTAAAGTGATACACTAATTTAAAAAAAAAATAATAATAATACACGAGCATCCATCATTTTGAGAACAAAGCAATTTTTGAACACAGCAATATGTATAGGCCAGTAAAAACCAGCGTCGCCATTCCTGAAATTTCCTGTAAATTCGTAACGTATCGATATCGATGGATCGGCCGTGTCGCAACGATTAATCGCAAAACACTCACCGGTGCGGCACGTCGGAGTAACAACGTCCTCGTGAGTCGCGTAGTAAACTATCGCCGAGATTCCAGGGCATGACCGGATGTCGAAGGAACGCGTTACAAATTCCCAAAGGTGAGCAAGCTGATGGTACGGATGACTCATAAATCGTCGGTCCGCTTTCCTCGACGTAATCGTAAACCGTGTGCTGCTCGACTGGATGACGGACAGGACAATTCGTAGGCCGCACAGGCACTGAGAAGATGATTCATGCACGAACGTGCAACCTGCGCTCCGAGTACCTGCATTTATGTCACGTCGCGTTCCGTGATTCTGCTTTCGCTGCGATCCGTTCGATCCTCGTGATTCGATCCTTCGCTGCTCGCGTCGTTCCGTGACCATCGTGAGGCGTTACTCGCGTGTCTCTCCCCCCTTTGTGCATCGAATTCGAATCGGACTTTCTGTTTTCTTGTATCGGTCTTCGACACATTTGTTTGTGCCTGTTTGTCGGCTTTTTCTTTTTTCTTTTTTTTTTTTTTTTTTTGATCGACCAGTTACGTAAACAGTATTCTCAGTCATTAAATTTTGGACGATTGAAATTTGGACAACCATTTTATGATATATTTAATTACATTATACCAATCTTATGGTGTAAAGGTATGCTTCTACAAAGATAACGACTCGAGATAAATTTATTCCAGTATTAAATGAATAAATAAATATATATATATATATATATATATATATATATATATATATATATATATATACACACACACAGTGGGATACAAAATTGTATATATATACAATAAAATATATATATATACAGTGGAATACCAAAATATATATATACACAGTGGGTTACAAAATGCTTCTACAAAGACAACAACTCGAGATTAATTTATTCCAGTATTAAATGAATGAATATATATACAGTGGGGTACAAAATTGAGTCAATAACAAAATTTTTAAGGAAAATATTTTTTATTGTCAAATAAAGTATAAAAACATGAAAATAAACTTGACTATCTGATTCTTTATAGTTTTAGGAAACTGAAGCTATTTTTTAATTCTTAAGATTAGGTTTCTTCCTGGCTGAAAAAATTAAAAGACATAGAATCAATTTTGCACCAGATTTTTTTCATAGTCAGATTTATAAGCTTTATCATACCTTACTATTTTGTCCATAAGCCATTTACTTAAATAATAGCTCTAATACGTCATGGCACACTTTCAGTCTTGAGCAGAAATCAGGTGGCATTTGATTCCACTATTCTATAACACGAACATATAGTTCCTGAGCTAGAAGGAGATTGTTATGCGTCTAGAATTTTTTTTTCAATATACCCCATACATTCTCGATGAGGTTTAGGTCTATATATATAGAATATACCAAACAGAAGAATTTTATTCTATATTTTCTACGTTTGATTCTTAATAACATATCACGATTTTATACCAATATAAATATAAATGTTCAATAGCTCGAGATTACATGGAGGAGAAACATTTCAAGAATTTAGATCGCGTGGTATATTAAATCAAATGGAACTGTGTCTTAGAATAGCGTATTTGTGAAAAGGTTATTTCTACAAATATAACATTTAAATAATAATCCCCGACATTTATAATTCAAGAGAAATGCAGAAGGTTAATCTCGTACACGTTCGATTAAATTTAAGAGACATTTAGAGAGAACCCAATTTCTATCTTATTCAATGTAGGTCAAGAAGCACAATGAATAAAAATGAGTTTTTATTTCCGATCAGAGGATTATGTTTGAACGCGACTTCTTTTAGCAAAATAATCGACCCAAGTTGATCATCGAGCCGAAATTATTTGCAATAATTGCGGTTCTTTTCAATCAGTTTGTATTGTCAATTTCTGCTACACATTTTAATATTTTGGTATTATAGTAAATTAAAATTACTTAATTCATTGAATTGTAGCTCGGAAATGGATTAAATTTCATGCCTCTTAACCCATGTCGTAGCATGCTAACAATATGCAGGGCCATTCAAGAATCCTAATACATATTTTTCCTTTTATGCTGTTTGAAACTTCATTATCGACTATACGAAACCATTCTCTCAATGCACTAATTTTTCACTGAATGTATATTTGCGATAAATATCAATTTCTTAAACTTTTCGCGAAATTGAAAAGAAAAGTACATATCCTCTTCATATAGTTTAATAACTGTTAGAATTCAACCATTGAATTATTCATTCTATATACTAATTTTTCATCAAGTATACATTTACAATATCTTACAGTTACATTTACAGTTTCTCAAGTCAATTCCCCTAAATTGTAAAAAAAAAATAATACATGTTTTCTTTCTTTTACGCAATTCGTACAATAATGTTCATTCCGTGTACCAATTTTTTTTCGCTAAATATACATTTAATGATAGTTCAATGATAGTTGAAAACTATCGCGCGTTAAGGAAAAATATCGTCGTCGTTGAACGTCGTTCGAGTAAGAGAGAGAAAGACAAAAAAAAAGAAAAGCAGAGATTCGCAAGAAAGACAAGAAAGAGTTTTGACGAGGGGCGTGTGGTTGCAGCGCGAGGAGTCGATGAAGCGGCTGCTGGAATGGAAGCAGCGGATGCTGCAATCGCCGCTAACCCGGAAGCCATCGGCCTCGGCAAACAGAGGTCGACCGCAGAACGAGCTGTCCAGCTATTACAAACAGCAGGCGCTGCTCGAGCTTGCTGCCCACGAGGCCTCCGTGGCGGAGGGTCGTCACTCGCGGCGAAGGGACGACGGTCATCGGCCACACGTCCGCAGCAAGAGCACCGACGGCCGCAGAACTGTCGCCAACGTTTCACGATACAACAGCTACTCCAGCGACGACGAAGGTAGGGACACCTCGCCTGAACTTATTATCTGAGTTGTGGCTTCTTCGATACACGGGCCGTTCCTGGGACCATTTCGCTTTCAGTAGACGAATATGCGCTTCTCTTTAGAACGTTAGACCTTAGTTAGTTTGTACGTAGACTTTGTAATCCAGTTGATTGTCCTTTATCACTGTCCACGGAAGAAGAATGAATTATTTGTGACGTTCGATTACGAGGAATAAGTCGTACACGTAGCTCGTGCAGCTCGTGTTAGTAGTAGTATTAATTAATATTTACTAATTTTCACTGTTACTACGAGGAGTAGGCTCGTGCAGTTATTTTTGAAAGAAATTTAACAGTTTAGTTTGATAGTTGTATATCGTAAAATGTAACACGTTAAGAACGTTTCCGTCAACGATTCACGTATGGCAGGATATTTTGTGCAAATATCGCGTAGGCCCCACGAACGTGCCGCGTCTGCGACTGCAACGAAACTCTTACGTAGATAGTTCGACTGTATTAAGTAAAATAGCAAGCTCTAACCCGTATATACAATCGCTCTACTCACGCGTGTGTTCTGCGAAATGAAACTTTAAAGCCGAGTGAGAAATGCTTTCTGTGTGGTGTTGCACGAGTCGAGAGAGAGAGAGAGAGAGAGAGAGAGAGAGAGAGAGAGAGAGAGAGAGAGTGAGTGAGTGAGTTACCGCGTTGCCAAAAAAGGAAACCTTCGTGCAAAATACGAGCCGAGTGTACGCCGATTGCACGTGCGATCAACGATTTTTATACGTATTTATCCCGCTAGTTCTTTTTTCTCGAATAAAGTGCCTTAAGAGTCAATTTGGGAGTCGAGTTAATCTGCGTGCATCACGCAGTCCCGTTACACGTTAATTTATTAATTCAACCTCCTGAAAACTAACACCGATTACGAACGTTAACGGTGATCACGGATCGAAGTAAAACGAGGGGAAAGAAAGAGGCGTAACATGACCTAGCGAGACGCGTTCGTGATCGAGAACGAACGTACATGATCGCTACTGGAACGTTTCGGAACTTGCTCGTCTGTGCTCTCCTATCTTTCTCTAGCTGTTCTTCTCTCTGTCGCCAAGCCGCCCCTAGTCGAGGGGTAGATCAAGTTTGTAGATAGCGAGGATCTTTAAAAGAAGGGTGAAAGAAACTTGAAAGATAGACGAAAAAAAAAAAAAAAAGAAAAAAGAATTTGAGTAAAAAAAAAAAAGAGCGGAATCTGCAAACATTCTCTCCGTGGGGCTCCTTCTCTTTGCTGCTGCTGGGTCTGGGCTGACTGGTGAATGGGAACGATTAACACCTTTGGAATTTAACTAGCGAAACCGTCCGTTACGACTTAACACTCGTATCTACAGCTGTACTACTTTGCGAAATGTGGGTCAGCATGGCATGTCGAGGATTACGTATCACTAACACTGTCGTAGAGGTGTTCGATTGTGGCCGCCGTTTGCCTTCCAGCTCGTAATGCGTGTCTTTATCGTCGAGCGATTGAGAACACGTCGGATCGATTCATTGATCGTTACCGAGTTGATTTACTGTCATTTTTCTTTTCTTTTTTCTTTTTTCTTTTTTTTTTTTTTCTTTTTTCTTTTTTTTTTTTTTTTTTTTTTTATAAATACGCCGATTCAACCGCTCGATATTAGTCTCTGACTCTCGTAACGATCAAGATCGGATCCCAGCTTGGTACTCTAGCTTTGAACTGTATCGAGAGGGTTGGGTTGTCGTTCACTGATCACACCCGTGAGTAACGAACGTCCTCGTGTGTTTGTTTTGTAACGGACGAATCAGAGCTGGGAGATGTCCGGAGGAAGCGCACGCGTAGACCCTCGCATGCAGGAAGGAGCCCCCGCCAGCACGGAGACAATCGTTCGTCAGGAAATCCGTCACAAGATGCCATGCCTGCGACCATCCGCCATATCCAGAAAACTGTTCGAGCCTCGAACGACCGACAAACCAACAGCCCCACTGCTTCCGTTCTACCGAATCTGGGCGGAATACCTCCGGACGCTGGCTACGAGGAGGTCAGCTTTCCCTCTGCAACGAGAACCGATCGTTCTCCTTCGTATGTCACCTCTGAACAGAAATCCACTGCCAGAACCGATCAGCAAGATCGCGATCACTTCGACGAGGACAAGTTCAAGAAGAAACCGTCTGGGATTTTAAAAACGTCCACGGTCTACGGTGTCGAGCAAGCTGGAAAGAGTTCGAATGCCTCGACCGGATACGCGACAGAGACTTGGCCGGCGCAGAAGACAGTTCAGTGGACCACTAAGAAGGAGCCGGACGATTGGGACTCCAACATCGACGAGAGCAAAGTTATCAAGGAGTTTTCCTACCAGTACATCAAACCGAAGGAAGAGCTAGAGTCGAAGAAAGAGGACAGGTCCCCTCCCGGCAAATCAGAGACTATGAACCTGGTACAGTGTAGGATACGATCGTTCGAGCTGAGCATGGACGGTTCGAGTCCGGTGAAGGAAATATACGCTATGCAGGAACCACTGAAAGTGTCTCCCCTTCAAGCGACCGAGGCGCACGTCTCCAAGCTGGACTGTTCGAAAAAGGCGTCGTCGATAATACGGAACTTTGCTCTGGGCGAGTCGGATTCACAGGATTCCAAATGCAAGAACGTGAAAGACGGTCACGCGAAACAGGCATCTACGGACAGCAACAAGTCGGTGAAGGATCTGCTGGCGGATTTCGAGAGGAAGTCTCAGCATGTTCAAAGACAGGAATACGGCAGGCACCAAGAGGCGAAACACCGTGGAGTGTTCAGCGACTCGGAGGCGTTGTTATACGACACGGGTAGCGATCTGGATCAGCGCGACAGGAACGAGGACGGGCAAGACGAGAGGATCAGGAAGGTGGACGAAGTTGTGCCTGAGCCCATCGACGATCGCAAGATGTACACCGATACGACGAAGAAGAAGGGCGATGTTTCCTTCAGACGTAAGAAAAGATCGTTCTCTAAGGAGAGCGAGAACGATCCAACTATCTCCACGGAGGATCTAGGCATTCTGTCGAATCCCAGCTGCGCCAGATTGAGCGTCACGGAATCTCTGTTAACTCACGGCGATCGCCTCTCGGGGGAAAGTGGAACCACGAGTCCCACCGTGAAGCAAGAGGATATCTGTCCCGAAGAGCACTACCTCCCTATGACACCCAGAAAAGCCATACTGGATCCCAATGACGACAGACCGAATCCAAAGATGATGGAGAGCCTGTTCGCCAATTTGGACCACGAGGAAAGTTCGTACGTGGAGATGGCTCAGAATGGCATGACTCATTCTCTTTTGGCGCCCGCCGACGAGATCGCCCGCAAACACGATTCCGGGGATTACTCCACCTTGGACACGCCTCACTACGAATTCGTCTGCGTTTCGGATAATAAAATGGAGCCGGTGTACATGGAGGTGAGTCAGTTGTCGGAAAAGGAGGAGCAAGACTGTGGAAACGTGTCTCTGAAGAAGAGGAGTCACGACGATCCGGCACGCTCGAGAACTGATCTCCCGGACATTCTGACTGCGTTGAAGTCCGACAGTTCGGACGCCGACGACGAATCTTCGAAGGACCTCGATTCGATCGATGCGCCACGACACCCTAGGTTCAGCCTGTCTGATACATTCAGACCCGCTTCCTACTACTTGGGCGCTAGTCGGACCATGATCGCGGAGCTGCACGATTCCTCAGACAGCGAGTTGGTGTCTCCTCCTCCGATACCAACTTCTCCGCCGCCGTTGGACGACCTGGACTCTTTGGACATGCAGGAGTCTTTGGAAATCAAGAAAGTCTCGCCCCAGGTAGCGGTGACGAAGGACAACAGTTCGAGCAGGGACTCGCCGAAATCGTGGAACAAGCCGATGGGTCAGATCGAGACCCACCGGCCTCCGTCGAGATTTTCGGATGCCACCATCAGCTCCACCTTCAGAGACAGCCGAATCTCTCTGGAGAGCGCTTCCGGAAGCGACTCGGTGGAGTTGAGGACACCGGAGGAAGAAGCGAGGCACAGACAACTGAAGACCAGACCAGTCAGCGAGATGTGCGAAGTGCTCGATAGTTTGGACGAGTTGGAGTCGCTCGGGAGCCGATTCGACGGTGCTAGCATCGATTTGGATCAGTACTTGGAGGAACTGCAGGCTCGCGACGCCTTCAACGTTGACTTGTACGCGAAAGATCTCAGTTACAACAGCATCTACGGATTCAACGAGAACATGATGGTGGTAGACAAGCTTCAGAAGACCACCTGCCACGATCTGTCGAGGCAGATGAATTTGGGCTTCGAAAATCTCGAAGCCCAGTCTCTGAGGTACAACGGCGGTGCTGCGAACAAAATGGGATCGGCGAGTAGTTTGCCGTCTATGAGAGTCTGCGACGCGCCACCTTCTCATCAGCATTCGCAATCCTTCACCGGCGACGCTCACTACGAAAATATCTCGAGCTTCTCTCCGCTGAGAAATTCGCCGGCGATTCGATCGGACAACGACCAGTCGCGAGACAACTCGCACAGGCTTCCGAGAGGTTCTCAAAACAATCTGCTCGCAGCGTCTCATAGTAGGGACTCGAGTTACTCTTTGGCATCTGGAGCTGCATCGATCTCAACCTCCATGGCTTGCCAGAGACCCGCCAGCGCGCAGTCTTCCATACACTCGCCAACAGGCTCGATGTCTTTAGGAAATCACGGGAACAGTTTGATCGCCAACATGCTGCAGAACGCGTGTCCCTACTCTGATCAACGGTTCCAAAGTCACTCGAGATCGGCCAGTCAAGACTCCGCTAGATATTCGATGATATCGAACCACAGATCGTCGTCCAGCCAGGATTCCAGTCACTACCCGACCTCTACATCCACGGTAAAGACAAATCCCGCGCCTCAGTCGTATCTACCTGGCGAGCCACGTCCTCAGAGCGAGCAATCGGCTGCTCCTTATTATTATTCCGATCTTCAGGGTAGCATAAACGCCGTAGACGCCGAGTCGGCGAGGCCGATAGGCCACACCTCGAGACTGCCCCAGCTGAACAATCAAAGAGACGACGCGTCCGCGCTGAACAAGAGGAACATAGGGCGTATCGTGAACCCTATTCCCAGGCAAATTCCCAGACAGATTCAGGTGGACGACATAGACGAGGCTAGGAGAATAGCGGCTGAACTCCGGAAGACTACTTGTCAACTTCTAAGCGACAACAAAGTGGGATTAGTGGACAAAAAGAACTTTTACGAAGCGGACACCCTCAGAAGGGTGAAGTCCACCGATCCCCTGCCTGATGTCTCGCCGGCGGAGATCAGTACGAGAAATCTGTATCCGCATGGTCTCCGCGATAAGTCAAACGATCAGTCGAACAGCCGAGGTGCCTTCGAAATGGCGGTTGGAACCCAAACGTGCCATCGAAGATCTCGATCGTTGGAGGGCCTCCTGGACGACGTCGGCCTTCAGAATCTAGTGGAGCAGAGAAACAGATGCAATCGCGTGGCGATGATTCAACCGAGCCGGGTGGAGGAAATATCGCAGAACATGGGTGGCACAGGTACCAGTTCAACGTCGAGCAACTTCAACGTGGAGGATCCTTGGGAACAGGACTCGCTGTGGAGAGAAAGTCTTCGACGAGTGAGTCTGAGAAACGCGAGGTCTTTGGATAATTTGGACAACCCTCCGCGACCAGTCGTGTCCAACTCAGACTCGAAGGGACGGAACAAGATTACTCGCGGAGCCACGTACGTGAACGACAGTGTTATCATGCGGCGAGACAACTGCTCGGAGGATTCTTCGGACAGGCCACGCGTGAAGCGTCGAGCCAACAAGGAACAACAGGAGTTGAACGAGGTTGTCGACGATCTGACATACGAAAGCCTTTCGATGGAGCGGATTCACGCGAGCGGCTACGTATGGGACGCGCAGAACGAGGCTTACCGGAAAGCCACCGCCGAGGATAGGGATCATTTTTTAGAGGATGGCAACCTTCCCCCGATACGCTCGGTCACGGAGACGACGCAGCAGGTATCCGGGCCAGCAGCGTTCGAGCTCGACCGAGAGAAACTACGGCAATGGGACCTGCTGTCGAGCGCCTGCTTGCTCCAGGAACAGCAGCGCGGCTCAATGGCGGAATCGGGGCGAGGGTTGCCAATCGTGGAACGGCCTGGAGACGTTCTCGACGCAACGAAGAACGGTGCACGGCTGGTGAACAGTGGCGCTGGTACCATGGTGAACACAAGCGCGACCAGTCGCGATCGGGACGTGGTTTTGAAGGTGATCGAGAAGAGCGTGCAGCAGAGTATCTCGATGATGACGATGACGACGGCGACAACGACAACGACAACGACGACAACGACGACGATGGCGAGCAACAGGCAGGAGCTGAACGAGACCAAGGAGGCTTGTAACAGGGCTGCTGCAGGTGAGTGGCTCCTCAAGACAACCGGTGGTGTGTTCAGGAAGTGACTGTGACTCTGGCCGTGTTCCAAAGCCTCGACTCAACCGACACCGAGCTTTTCTTCTCGTCGATCGGTCGAAATTTTCAACGGACTCGTTCACTACCAAATGTACCTGTGCGTTTCACGGTGGCCTGTATAGCGTTCGTTGCCACGCCGAATTTCCTCGTTCTTTTGGAACCCGTGCTTCGCGCGACGATCGATCGTGGATCACCGATCGGACACGTTCTGCTTCAGAATGACGCGATCTTGACTCGCCCGCGCAAGTCACTTTGTATCTACTTTGATATATTTAATAAATAAATGTGACTGTTAATATTATAATATAAATTGACATGTACTGATAAATATTAAATCACGAATGTTATATATCGACGCGTGAAGCATGTTCGCGCCGATGTTAAAGTGATTTCCCGATTTTTCCATCGAGGGAGCTAGAATTTTTCAAACCACGGATTCTTCGTGCGGATTTTTATACTTTTGTGAAACGTGAGACCGAAGATGTGGAACTCTCTTTCATCTGCTACGTATACTGCGCTAAATATTCTTCCTTGGGCATTTTATTTTATTTTCCCACTGTGTACATTCTTTCCTAATAAACGCAGAAACGTAGCAGCCCGCAGTTTATTTACGAATTCGCTCAAGAGCCGAGACGATCGGGAAAGGAGCGCGAGTTCACGCGTGGCCGAGCCAACTGATGAAAAATCGAACGCAACGTTCCTATTTATTTACATTATTGACGGCAATTGCAGAACAACGAATCGAACAATTGTAATTCACCTTTGCAAGTGATTCGAAGCATAACAGGTGTAACGACTGAAAACCAAACGATCTCCACGGAGCCGAGTACATTTCCAGGCCGGTGGCCACGCAAACGAGCAAAGCTTTCTCCAGGCACGCCTATACTCGTTCCAGCCGAACGACCGAATACGCGTTTTTCAAATGAACCATCACCTTTGCGTTACTTACAATTAATGTTGATAAACAAGACCGCGTTCCAACTTGCATCCCGAGAGACCGAGCTTTCTCCACTTTGTTCACGGGCGTAAATTGCGTTACACTGTTGTTACGCAGTGTCGCGGCGGCGAATGAAAAAGCTACGTTGATCCAATTTGGAAACAAACTTCGTCGACGATAGTTGGACGATCGTCGTTCAAAGCAGTGCGAGTTGGAACACGGCTTGACAGGGATGTGTGTTGCGTGAGCTCTGATGTATGGTACCGTGTGTGAGCGCCTCTCGTTAGCTGACTTTTCCCGTCAAGGCAAAACTCCCCGAACGAAATTACAAACACCCCGAGGATTACGTTACGCGAATTGTCGTTCGATCGCTTTCGTCCTCGTCGCGATAACGAGAATGAAATCGATCAGAGCGGGTAACAATTCGCGGCTGAGACGCAAAGGCTCGGAGATTGATATTACCACCGTTATTAAAACGTTTCAACCTGTAACACGTATCGAGTCACGCTTGGTATATACATATACGGTACGGATCATAGTCTGAGTTCAAAAGGGAAAGAAATAAAAAAAAAATAGAAAGAAACAAATTTCATTTACTCAAATTGAAAATCGTACAAATGCAAATTGTACCTGACTACGGACAAATTTATACTTTCTGACAAATTGAACCATCGTAATTGAAAAAGTAGGAAGAGAGTAAAGCAGCAGAATTGTTTCATCGATTGTTTTAAATATCGCAGAGTATACATTTTGAATATATTTCGTACGTTTTTCCTTTTGCGTGTTTATACCGTGAAATTTCTTGCAAATGCATAAAAATCTGTAGTCTACATATACGCAAACGTTTCAATATTTTACATCCGACACGGTGTAATAAGATTGAAGAGAAAATTATAGGGTAAAGGTAACGTAATGTCTACACCGCCTTGTCGAGCAGAACATGCGTTATTTAAACGCATGAAAGAGAAGTTTCGTAACAAGGAAAGCATTGAACGAATTATCGATAAGGTGATGTGAGCTTTTCTTAATAACGTTCAGGGTACAACGATAAGAATCCCCTTTGACGACGTGAGATTGATATTCCATAACACGATATTCCTCATCGATTTCGATGCTACAATTGCAGACGTGTCTATTAAAATTAAGTTTGACGATTGTATATATACACGTTTAGGTACTTTCACGATTTTGTTCGTTTTTCATTTTCGAAATATGCAGTTGTTAGTTTGTAGCGTGTAAGAGTGATTGGAAAAGATGAAATTTTCTTCTTCGTTTCAATGTATTATGTACATTTCTGTGATGTCGAGTCACTACAGCATCGTCCAATCTGTCTTCAACAAAATGATTCTTTGCGAATCTTGATCGTTGATAAACTTGAATTTGATAAATTAAATATATATTACGATTCGTACTCGATCATGTTGGAAACACTATGCAAAGAAAATTAAAAAGAAATTCGGCTACAGGTGGAAATGAACCGAGATGTCGCAGCACTGACAATATCAATAAAAATTGAAGAAATAGAGATCGTTAGGAGGCCATGGTTACTTCAACACACCTTCCTTAGAAATTGTTGCAACAACTTTGTAATAATAAACGGAGTGACGCAACGTCCTGGAATTCCTGTGAGTAATTTCCCCTAGAGTTTAAGATGAGATTCATCGTTTAATGAATTCTGTCGAGACAACTCTGACAATTGCAAAAATTTACGAGTTACGAGCTGTTCAAGCCCGTACGATTCTGTCGCAGAGAAAACGATGAACTTTTGGTAAATTGAAGGATTGAAAAATCGTCGAAGTTTTGACCTTCAACTGCCTAGTTTTCTACGTAGTTGGGATTCTTAATTTGGAATTCTAAGATTCTGTTATGGTTTGCTATAAAATATATGATTGTGCAAGGCTTCGCTGTGGATTGTTCCCATAAATAAAATATTGCAATATTATTGTGAAATATTGTAATTATTATAATGTATAATACATAATATTTATAGTGTTACGATATTACGATTATAAATACTGCAATATAATATTAGTTTGGAGTAGAGAGGCTAAGTAATAAATGCAGCAAGTAATATTTTATAATAATACTTATAAAGTATTATTTAGTAGTAAATTACATAACATTGTAATATCAGAAATTTCGCTTTTACTAAAATTTACTAATATCGTAATATTACACAATTAATAATTGTACAACATTGTAATATTATAATAACAATTTTATATTGCAGTATTACAATGATATTATAAAATATTACTTGTGCTTGCTACAACTGCAGAAATGTATCGAGAATGCTAATAGAGAGATTAGAACGAAGAATACCCTCTTATCTCTCCAATTAAAACCATCCTCGTCGCCAGAAGAAAAGAAAAAAACTACGAAATCTTTTCTCCCTCTCCGACATACCTAAGAGTAAAAAGATAAAAGGAAGAACAAGAGGAGGGACGACAAACCAAGAAAGAAAGAAAGAAAGAAACGGGCAAACGAAATAACAGCCGTGTCGAAGAGATTTAAATCAGACAGAGCGGTGGAACGCACACGAAGGAAAGCGTGGTGCGTACGAACGCGCGTGTAAGAAGTTTGGATAACGGTCGGGTAGGATGCTGGTGGAGAGGCCGAACGGTTCGCCTTGGTATCCGGCGACTTCTTAATAAGTACGTTCACCTTCGGTGGCCGGCCGAACGTCCGAAACACGCTGGATTAAAGCCGGCGAACCGGCTGCATTCTGGTCACATCGGTGAAGAAAGAAAGAAAGAAAGAAAAAAAAAAAAAAAAAAAAAAGAGGAGAGGCACCGCTGTTTCTCTTCGACTCTCCGGCTGGTGTGTTCGCCGCTATCGAAACGGGTTCGAGCGTGAAAGAGAAGGTCGTCTCGACGAAAGAGTTGGGGGAGTGGTGGTGGTGGGAGGACAGAACAGACGGTGAAAGAATCCGTGCAGCGTCAGAGACGGTTTCTGTGTCAGCTGTCGGATAATCCGCGTGTAAATTCGATCGAGTCCGTCGGTTTCAACGCGAAATAGCCGCGGCCTCGAGCCGGAGGGCGCACCGGGAAATCATCGGGAAACACGACGGCCACCCGCGAACGTTGCACCGCGCCGTGTCGGCAGATTAAACGATGACTGATTGCGCGCGTTCTCCGCGCTGATATCGCCACGCTGCGCTCGTTTCGTGTACACACACGCCGGTTGTTGCTGCTGCTGGCTGACTTCTCTCGTAGAAATATCCTCTCAACTTTTGAGCCGCCGAGTTGTCACGAAGAGACGATGCGTTCAGATCATTCCGTTTCCGCATGTTTGTAAATTCGAAGGGAACGGAGAGAAGTATGATTCTTAAGAACAAACCATACGATACATCAGTAAAAATACTACATCAAATCGCCAACATACCTCCAATAGAAGAGTACGTACACAACTCTATGGCAAAGGCATACCACCCAATCATGAAAACCTTTTCATCAGGGCTATCGGGGACTACCACACAGACAAAACCCCACTAAAGATAAGGACGAAACTTCCAAACACGCAACGCTCAACAAATAACTGCATAAAACGCACAACTATAAGAATCATCAAATTACCTGCAGAAGCTAACAACCTTCTTACTCACTAAAATCAACGAGAAATCATTAATCTCTCAACACCAAATGTATTTATGTTAAATGCAGGTTATAGGGAACCTTAAATCCCAAGGGACTGCAACAACACATAAGGAAGAGGAAGAAAAAAAAAAAGAGAGAAGTTGCATCGAACGTACAGTGTTCGTACATTTGTAAATTTCGTAAATTTCGTATTACTCGTTCTAAAGAAACGAGGTGCATCGTCTTCTTTGTTTATCTCGATACTTGCACTATATGAGGTAATTTGCATATAGATGCAGGGGAGGACGATCGACGCGAAGCGTGCATACGTGAATACTTGCGACAAAGAGGTCGATATGAAGCAACATTTTATTATATTAAACCGTATACGAGAGCGTGCCTGCTATTATTTTCCTATCTTTCCTGTAAAAAAGAGATACAGTCTGCTCTAGTTGCAAGAATTACAGGTAGTGTGCACGAGCCTGATAAGCTCACCTAACAGAGATAAGAGAGGAAAACGTAACATGAAAAAGTATAATTATCTCGTGCCCCTTGTGAATATGTTTCTCGTTTAACTCACCGTCGCTATAAATATTCTCAACGGCAGTCAAACACTAGTTTTTTTTAATCAGTCGTTACGAATACATGTACTTTCGAAGAAGAAACAGGAACAAACCGAGAGAAGATTGTTAAATATTCTAAATAATTCTAACAACAGGGAAACATTGTCTGGCAAAACAGTATCTGATGATAAAAACAAATTCAGCAAATCTCTAATTTAATTGCTACTTGATAGAATTAGTCGCGATAAAAATCGACAGATTGTCGTAAAGTTGCTGGTCACAGGTTGATCGCGCTCTAAAAGTGTTCATTCTCATTTCGCTGGCCACGACGTCCTCGAACAGGCGATAACAAGGACAGATAACTCGAGGATATCGTAATCGTTAGACGACCGGCCGACGTCAGAAGACCTTTTCAAACCGCGTTCGCAATCCCCGCCTTCACGAACGGCTGACATTTCGCAGGCATCAGCAACGATGACCGCGGTCGCAACGATGCCATAAACGCGCAGGAGTAACAACGTTAAGCGCGTTAAACGCGTTGTCGTTGCACGTTGCACTTTGTCGCGAGTTCAATAGCACGGATACAATCGATGAACGTAACAATCGACTTGTCTTTCTCCCGAGCGGATCGCGACTTCCACTCTAACAGTGAGAATGTTTGCCGTGAATCGGTGAAACTTGAAATATTTCAAGCACTCTTTAACGAACCCAACGAACAAGATTTACGTTTCTGAAACGTATTTAGAATACATAATCTCTAGAAATTTTTATGAAGAACTAGATGCTAGAGCGACTTAGTAAACTTGTAACCTGCTTTAAAACCTTGCGTGTTTGTTCATTTTTCTTTAATTCCCTCAAAAATGTCCGGAACTAGAGGAATTTTATATAGAGAAGAAACAACCGGATGTTGGGCGAATAGTCTTCCATTTACAATGTTAGGAATTTACTAAGTTGTAACTGTTTGTAACACATTGCCAGCTAAAAAAGACTCGAATAAATATTTCCAAAGTGAATCATTTCAAAAACATTTTGAATAGATTCGCGTATTGATCGTTGGTCGATCCATTCTAATTAAAGTTAATAATTGAAATGTATATTTTTGAACGATCTCGTTCCACGAAGATCGATATACCCATTTTTACCTGAACATCGGATAGATTCCACGTTCAAAATGGATACAAATTTGACTGTTGCATAATTCGAGCGAGCGAGGAATAGCAAGTCGGATATCGATCATTCGACGATACATAGGCTACGTCTTGAAATATCAACGAGTGACTGGAATGAGGCTGTTTAAACCATCAATCGGCTGGGTTTATGTCCGTTTTTAGCTGATCGATTCTTCGAGCTGTCCAATTCGCTCGGTAAAATGCTTCAATTTCGTCTATTTCGACGTATTAGGAGCGAACCTCGAACAATGATACCTCTCCATACATTTCAGAATATTTGATTAAACATTGCACGTTTGCGCGTCAACGTCAGTTTGTTCGTGTTTGCAGTGATTTAGTCATTCGCATCGCGATACGATCATTCCATTCTTTTCGCATTATTCTCCACATGGTGTTGTACTATATTCGGGAATTTCGAGTAGATTTCTGAACTTTAAGCGACATCGCCAGCTTTGAATGTTTCAAATAGTTCTTCCTTGCATTACTTGTGAATTTATTATTACAATCACGGATTTTATATAATTATACAATTCTAAAATAATAATACAACTCTGTTATTTACAATTGTAGAATAAAATTAAATTATACAATTATGCAGTTACAAATATTATAATTACTCAATAATTTTAATATTTTAATACTAAATCGTCAGACCTCGACAACGACATTCAATATATAGGCGCACCAAGGTACGTACCGTACGCCAAGAAACACAAAAAGTGAAAACGTATTATCCAACTCCCCCAAACGACGACAAAAGCGATCAATCATCAAGCACAAACCAGACAACAGCCCCCTCCCCCCCAGCGTCTGGTTATTTTTTTTTTTCGCACAATCGCATCTACGCACAATTACGAAGCGAAAAGCCAGCGGCAGGCAGCAACAGATCGTCGAACAATCGAAATATCGGGACATTTTTCTCGCTGTGAATGGCCGTGGCCCTTGACGTGTTCAAACGACGCGCTCAGCGTGCGCGATAAACAAAAAGGGGAGGCTGCCAGAGGACGACCGCTATACGGTCTCTCTCTGTATACGATTAGGTATTGGGAATTAGAGCGGTCCTTGAATCGACGCTGAGGACGGATGAACCGAATGAACGAGCACACGCACACGCACACACACGTGCAGATCGGTCCGACGACGGCCGCACACGACACTCGCCACTCAGTCAGTCAGCCGATGCCGTACCGGACGGCACCACGCGCCATTCTCTCGCCTCGCTTACACGCTCGAATCGATCGTACTCGCGTCGATCGTACTCTCAACGCGAAACTCCCGCGAGTTTTCAACGGGATCCGGCTTAGATTCAGTTTCGTGGTCTTCCTCTCCTTCTCTTCGTTTCCTCTTCCGAGAGGAGATTCTTGGATTTTTCGTTTCTCATTTGGATAGTTTCCAGAGAGGTTCTGGGAACCTTAGTCGTTGGCAATCGGTTAACAGACGTCTCTCCGAGGAGAAAGGTATACAAGTTGTCTGATATTCTTTTATGGATAGGATTGTTGATGGATCACAACGAGACAAATCACAGCGAGCACGTTTTTAATTTGAGGATCGGAAAACGATTCGTGAAGGTTGAAGTCGTCAGTTAGTTTACTCGATTTAGTTGGCTCCGAGTGTGATTAATTCGAGGTAACAATTGGAGTTGACAGTTAGTCCGGTTTAAATTCGTGAAAACACGTTCACGAAAATTAATTGGTGGAATTATAAAGTGTCTATCTAATAAGATAAAATATGTTTTATTAATTAGTTGAACTGAACCGAAC